TGGCAGTTAAGGTAGAGCCGTTGTTACCACCCCAACCAACCATCATCAATCTTTTCAAAAAAGAAAACCGTCAATCTTCATCGTGTGATAATCTTATTGGTTAGACTAATAAAGAAAAATCCGTCTATTATTATATTCACCCGACTTTCGGAATCTTCAATTCTGTCTTAAATTGGTATTTTGTTTCAGTGGGCACAACCTCGAGAGTGCCATCAATGTCACTTTTGGTGACAGTGACGTTATTGTACACATAATCGGCGAAAATATGGGAGTCAGTGTAACGAACATTAGGAGAGACAACTTTAAGCGCCACAGGGGATTCAGAGGTAAAGTTATCGTAGGAAGAAGAGTGTGGAGGCATTTTTTAACACTGTCAAGTGAAAGAATGTGTTTTGTGGGTATTGAGAGGAACAGAAATATCAACTCAGGTGGATGAACAAAAACTAATGCTAAGGATTAGTTTTGGGTTTCGCAGAGACTCTCTTCTGTCCCCTGTGAGGATTGTGTAACGAGCTTAGTAGATTTGCGAACGTGTTGGGCAAATATCTAAGGCAAGTTGCCTTTCAATAAAACTAGTTGTTTAATATACGCTAATAGAACAAAAATGAAAATGAAAAAAAAAAAGTTGGAACGGAAAAGCGTAGAAAACAGATTTTTGATGCCATCTTGATGATAAGAAAAAAAATTCTCGTGTAACAGTCCATGGTCTAACGTTTTTTTCTGTTGTACAACATGTAATATTTTTATATGAAATATTTTCCATTATTCACTTGCCTTTTTAAAGTTGATAATTAAACGAAATTAAATTCTTATTATATCAGTATATGCACTGCATATACTGTGTGGTTTATAAAATTTATTCTCGAATAATTTGAATTTTTAAAATAAAACGATTATTATTATTTTTGTATTAATATAAGTATCTGTTTATAAATTACATACTGTATATACAGTGTGGTGCAAAAAAAAAATCAGAATTATATATTTATTTATAGTTCAACAACCAATTATTGAAGTTAAATAAAACTTTACAAATATGTTTTTCAATACTTTAAGAATA